TACCTGGAGAAAAGAACGTACACTTATTTACTATGGCCGTTTTACTGTTCAAATCGCAAGACGGCTTCGCTGCAGAAATGAATAGAATGGTCATTATTATGCAGCGGACTGGTACTACAGCCCACGATCCCGATATGTTGGTACTTGGTAATACTTGGGGAACGTTGCTATCCATTCTCCAGTGTATCCTTTAGCTAACTTTTAGGGCACTAACGCGAGGAGATCGGGTGGCGCTCGTCCATACCACACAGTAAAAACATTGAATATACCTAGTCAGGTCATAAATTCTGTCACATGTTTAATGTAAAATAATTGAAACAAGTTTATTCATTATGTAACCATTCATATACCAAAATGAACATAACAAAACATAGATTCTTATGACACTAAATTTTATTCAAAATGACCTCCGTGATTTTGAATACAGGCCTTCAATCTGCGCGGCCAGTCGTCTATCGCAGCACGAACGAGGTCCATGTAAATATCGGCGGCTGCCTTAATCAAGGATGTCTTGAGTGACTCCAAATTGGGATGAGGCTTTGAGCAAGCCTTTTCCTCCAAGTTTTGCCATATCTTGTAATCTAACGGATTCAAATCTGGACTGGAGGAGGGCCAGTCTTCGTGCCGGATGAAGTCGATTTCACGCGCCGCCAGCCAGTCTTGTGTGCTCTTCGCTCTATGAGCTGGCGCCAAATCTTGTTGGAATACCCAGTGCCTGTTATTGAACATGGTATGAGAAACAGGTTCCACAAGGTTCATCAGGATTGTATTTTGATACACAACTGCATTCGTTTTTACACCTTTCTCACAAAAATGTACCTCTGTTAAGCCCCAATAAGAAACTCCCAACCATACCATGAGCGAGGATGGAAAATGACCTCGTTGGACACACGGAATACGGTTGCTCGCTTCTTCACTACTGTGTGCGTACACCTTATCATTTTGTTTGTTGTAGCTATCTTCTACGGTAAAAATTTTTTCATCCGAATAAAGAATTTCCCGATTTTTTTTTCCCGCGTACCGCTTCAACAAAGCGCGGCATCTCTTCAGTCTCAGGTCCATTAGACGAGCATTCAAACGATGTCCTGTTTTTCTTCGATATGCCCGAAGCCCTAAGGCTACATTTAACACCCTTTTCACCGTGGTTCTGCTTAACCCCATCTGAAGGGCCAACAGTTTCTGCTTACGTTTGGGATTTCTTTGAATTCGCGCCTTCACAGCTTTTATCACTGCTGGAGTCCTAACAGACCGAGGGCGACCACTTCTTGACCTGTCATTTACACTAGAGTCTTCATTGTATCGTTTGATGGTACGATAAACGAATCTTTTGGTTATATTCAANCTTTTCACCGTGGTTCTGCTTAACCCCATCTGAAGGGCCAACAGTTTCTGCTTACGTTTGGGATTTCTTTGAATTCGCGCCTTCACAGCTTTTATCACTGCTGGAGTCCTAACAGACCGAGGGCGACCACTTCTTGACCTGTCATTTACACTAGAGTCTTCATTGTATCGTTTGATGGTACGATAAACGAATCTTTTGGTTATATTCAAAATTTTCAGTATGTTAAAAATTTGAATTGGCGCGTAACCGCAACACGGTCCTCTTTAAACGTCCACTCCAGATTTAAAAATGAGTAAAATTCTAAAAGTATACATTTTTATTTTCATGAACAATTCGAAATTCGAATTCAATAAACTTTTTTGTGGCCAGCATTCTAAAAGAAAAGTTTTTACTGTGTGACAATACTTATGACCTGACTAGTTACTTGTGCTAGGTCAGATTTAAAGGTTACAGTTTATTTTTCAATCATACAGAAATATAAAACTTCACATTTTAGATCAAACGGCTGAATGGCGCATTAGCTGTGCTGAGGTGGGGAGGTCAAGGAACTCTGCTCGTGATCTCCAATCTAGACCGCGACCAAACCGAAGTGCAGCCATCTATGATTCCTGGCCTTCCAACCGAAATGACTGTCGCCATCAGCTCTGCTGGGTCTAGACTATCAACAGGGGCTCACGTGGCACTGGAGAAATCTGTGTCGTTAGCTCCTGGTGAGACGATACTCCTAATTGGAGGACCAAGACATTGCGGAGGACCTGGTCCAGTCGACAAGATCGCTAACAAATTAACCGAGGGCTGGCAGAAAATTAATAAATATTTCAGCAATTTATAAAACTAACATTTACTTTAAATAAATATTTACTTCATATGCTAAATCAGTTTGTAACTATATATTTACTGGCGTATATGGGTGGAACCTCAAGATGAACTTAGTAGTTGTGGAGTCTATGGGCTCCCGTAGCTTCCGGATGCCGTGAATCGTTCTTAGATGAGAGCTTCTAACCTATTTCGTCCTTCAAACAAGTTTGGAAAATAATCCTCGCACTTGATTGCAACTTAGTGTCCCTCACATTACAGGCGTTTCTATAGGCTATAGACGTTTCTGTATCAGCAAGTCAGTTCATTTAATGACAACAATTTGATAAAACTTCCCAACCACATTAACCCAAATAGAACTGCAATCAAAAGTTTGAACTCCGCGACTGATACCGCCCGATAAGCTAATATTATAACTGATGTAATCTCATAATTTCAAAGTAATTTGTAATATTTTAGGTAGAAACCAGACCGTAAAATTCTTAGAGCACAGCAGCAGTGTAGCACAGATTCAAAACTAAGAGGTTTACTTTTGTTTTTGATTCATTATAAACATTTACTCAAAAAGTTCATTTGTTTACAAATTAACAACTGTTTTAATCTTTATTACATTCTGACTTTTTGTTAACAATCTATATCTATATAATATATAAAAATGAATTGCTGTTCGTTAGTCTCGCTAAAACTCAAGAACGGCTGGACCGATTTGGCTAATTTTGGTCTTGAATTATTTGTGGAAGTCCAGAGAAGGTTTAAAAGGTAGATAAATATGAAAATGCTCGGAATTAAATAAAAATAACAATTTTTTTTTTCCTTTGACGTGTCCCCCGTCGGATGGATTCCTTTTGTATGTTTTATGTTCTTTTATACAAAAGTTTAGGTCTTTTGTCGATTGAGGTACAACGAATTCTGCCGGGTCAGCTAGTTAAATATAAAATTGACTAGAGGTTTAATCTTTTTATTAAATGCTTTAGTGACCTACAATTGGATTGCATATTAGAGCTGTATTGCTGCTGCGTGATATTTACGAGTACAATTTTCGTATACATCGTCCTGTGTATTCTTGCCCCGATGCCGCTATGTGTTGAGGTTTGATGGAGGAGACTTCGGACTTACAATACAACTGAGACTCATGTGTCTGGGTAGCGTTCACATTGTTCCCCTTCGAATCAGATAACCACCAAATATCAGGTGGTTTAAATTTTGCAATCAATACGAGTAATATCAGTATTAGAGCAATGAAATTAGCTTTGTGGTCTGGGCAGACAATTAACATCCTATGTAAATTCGGATGCTCTTCTACACCAATGAAATATTTCATAATCATGATTCGGAGTGACTTAGGCTCTATTCTTTTTTTTTATTGCTTAGATGGGTGGACGAGCTCACGGCCCACCTGGTTTTAAGTGGTTGCCGGAGCCCATAGACATCTACAACGTAAATGCCGCCACCCACTTTGAGATATGAGTTCTGAGATCTCACTATAGTTGCAACGGCTGCCCCACCCTTCAAGCCGAAACGCATTACCGCTTTACGACAGAAATAGGCAGAGTGGTGGCACCCTACGGACTCACAAGAGGTCCTATAACCAGTAACAATATTCTCCGATAAGGTCGGACAATATTTGACTGCAATACTTTGTTCGGGTATTAATGGTAGCCTAAAGGATAAGATGTCGGGTCCATTCGTATGTGCCAGACTGTGCCAGTTTTCGAAACTCTCAAACTGATAGCAATTTGTCTAATGAAATACGTACTTAGCATATGAAGTTGTTCATGAATAGCTTCCATTATGAAGGAACAACATCGTGAAATAAAAAAATTAAACCTACGAAAGTTATAATTTACTCAATTAATGGTGGCCGGGCCTCTTCTGATCTTGCACGGGTGGGTACCGCTACCTTACTACCAATACCTTATTTTTGATGCGAAGCAGTAACGCATTCAGGCCTAAAGCCGTTCTAGTATTGGAACCTACTTAACTCATGTCTGTTATGTGTTTGGTGGCATTTTCGTTGTCGATGTACTTATATGGGCTCCAGTAACTACTTGATACTAGGTGTGACACTAAGCTAAAGAAGAAGATCGGGATATCTGAAACAGCAATTCCTACTCCTTACCGTCCCTCCATATCCTCCTAGTAACCTCAAATAGTTTTGTTTTATTTATATATTGGATAGAGTGATGGTCTTTTGTAGTGGCCCATTGGCTTTAACGTTACCTGTCGCGTTGTACAGTTTCCGGTACCCGGTCAGCATTTAACCACAAAAGAATTACTGAACCATACGATCCAGATTCGTTTCCCGGTAAGAGACAAAGCTTCCGTCAATATATATTCAGGATTTGTATGTGTTGCTTTTTTCGTTAGCGATAACGCAAAAGAAAGTCTATGGGAAGGCATGGTAGATATAAAGTGAAGAAGACGAAGAAGGGAAGAAGTGGAACAGAAGGGTAGATAGAGTAATAGTAAAGGGTGTTTGTGGCGCGCGTCGGCCCGGGAAACGTTCGGACGCTATTGTCTCCGTGACCTACATCCGGATTTAATAAACCGCCCCTACCCACGGCTCTAGCTGAGAATTTTTGCCCGCCATTTCAATAGATTTTATAACTTATAATTCATAAAACACAACACAACATTTTATTATATTTCAATGAATTAAGTGATTGTAAAACAGAATTTCGGTACAAAACTTTCATTACAGCACAGATCGCGAAGATTTTCTTTCATTAGTCTTCTGAACTCGAGAGTTATCTGGGGCACGTCGATTTGGGCGATAGCCACTGAATGGCCGCATTCGATTTTCGTATAAAGCTATCTATAGAGTTAGTTCAAAAATACTTACAGAACTTGCTTTTCTCGGCAAAAGTGTAGTTAACGGCGTAGAATATCGCTAGAAGGAGAGCTAGCGGTTCGCGTGCCCTCATGGCGGGGCCGCGGGCTCGCAGGGGCGCGACGCGGCGCGCACTGAGTCTCCAAGCCACGCTATCGACCTACCCACACCGCGCAGGCGCACAAACCCGGCGTACTACTCAGACCACGCTACACAACCATTCTTGCCAGAATATATTTTAAATTACCCGAAATAAAATTACGATAATGATACGTCCTTATTCAAATGAAAAGAGCTTTAAACGATAGACGAGCTACTGGGCAGTAGTCCTGAGTTTTCCATTATCATCGATCGATAGTTATGATTGTCAATAACATGGTCAGCTAAGTGACTCTTGAAGACGAGAATGGGCTTAGAATGCACTCTTCAACCATCCTATTAGGAATATACATTTGCTTCATGAGCTGCTGAATGTGTACACATTGTGGATTACATTTTACTAAAGTAAGGCATAATAAAGAGCTCGACTATGTATAATATTATAAAAAAGAAATACATTACAATTTGTAAAGAATATTCTAGAATTTTCCGAAACTTTCAACCCAGAAGGTGCGGCGTCCCGCGGGCTAGATTCTCTCCAATGACTCATTCGTTGAGTGAATGAAACTCCCTCGACACAGACAACAGTAATTTGGCACAAAACAACGGAACCAAATTATAACAGCTTTCCTATACATAATTAAATTATATAAACTTTCAGCATTGTAGGTGCTAAAACACGTGGTGAAACATGAAGTTCGAGCTTTGATCGCATTAGAATAACTACAATCCTACCTTTCCAACCAGAACGCATGTTTACCCCGAACTAAATCCAAACAGGATAAATACGTACTCAACAATAAATGTTCACGATTAACTTCCATGGTGAAGGAATAACATCGTGTAATAAAAATCAAACCCGCAAAATTATAAGTTGCGTAATTACTGGTCGTAGAATCTCTAGTGAGTCCGCGCGGGTAGGTACCTCCACTCTGCCTATTTCTGCCGAAAAGCAGTAATGCGTTTTGGTTTGAAGGGTGGGGCAGCCGTTATAACTATACTGAGATCTTAGAACTGATATCTCAAGGTGGGTGGCGCATTTTGGTCGTAGATGTCTATGGGCTCCGATAACCACTTAACACCAGATGGGCTGTAAGCTCGTCCACCCCTCTAAGCAATAAACAAAAAATAGCACCTAGTCGTGCTGTCGGCCTACCTTATCACCAATAAGTCTTTGAGGTCACGCGGACTCAAGTGTACGAACATTCCCTTGCTTATGAACCAACTGGAGGACCTCTTCAGATCTACAAGAAGTTTGAAGCCATCTTGAAATCAAGAGCTCTTTGAAGTAACGTCAAGATACCTGGGCTTTATGTCAAAAAAAATCCTTGTAAAAGGTATTATCGTGACGACATAGTAATGGCATTGATTTATTATTAATTTAGCTAGTTTGACTTTGAGAATATATGTTATACATATAAACTATTGTACTCACTATCATTATTGATTGCATGAGCTTAATAAAATGCAAATTGACCAACTGGAACGAGAACGCTTGTGATAAATTATAAAGATGCGCAAATTCTCGTTTTTTCTTAACATACATTGTATAAAATATGATAGCTGGTCGAGGTTCACGCTCTACCTAATGCATGCCTAAGTCATGCCTAAAACATGACTATTAAATGACAATTGCGTGATTTATATACCCGACATCCACCTGCTTTGGCGACAAAATGGTAGTTAGTCAGTAGTATTAGTCACCTTATCGGCTTTAATCTTGCATATATTGTGTTAACTTTATGGTCTCGGTATATCAATTTCAATTAACGTGTCTAACACTGTATAAAACATGTTGTCATGGATTACATTCAAAATTTAAGACAGGAAATGTTACCCATTTCACGACACTTGTTTATTTGCGCTTGTTTATATGCCAAGAAAGTGTAAAAGTACCTATGAAAATAGCCCCGGTAATCAACTAATTAACGAGGGGATGGTTAGCCTGGTATGGACATGTGATGCGGAGAGAGAACATGCATGTGACTAGGAGATGTATGGAAATGGTAGTGCAAGGTAGAGGGGGAAGGGGTCGACCGAAGAAGATATGGATGGAGTGTGTGAAAGACGATACGAGAGTGAGAGGAACGAATGTTGAAATAGCGGCGGATAGAAGAGAATGGAATAGAAAAATACGCTGTGCCGACCCCACCTAGTAGGATAAGGTGGAGAAAAAGAACAAGTTTGTATACCATCAAATATTAAATAATACATACTGGTACGCGCTGGGGTTCGGGATAAAAAAATTATACCGAAGTACAAATTAAAACTGTATGAACACTTAAAACACTTCAAAATTCTCAATTCACTTCTTCCGCTTCGCTTCGGGTGATCTGTTCGCTGTTTCACTTCAAGTGTTCCGATTACTAAATGACTGCGTACCATCTCTGCAACGCTTTTGTAGTGGATATAAAACGATTATAGTCGATACGACATCTCTATAAATGTCAAGAACATTCCTCACAACTCGAGCACTTTTGACGCGTGCTTCCGCTATCTGACAATAGATGGCGTTGTACTTCTCGAGCGTACTAGATGTTACTAGATCCTTTGATATTCGTTTCGGCTGTTCGACGATAGATGTCGTTAATCTTACCAGTATAACAATACTAATAGATTACTGGACTGACTCGGTAGTACTGTAGTTAGCACCCCTGACTGGTGCGTTGAGGATCGTGCGTTCGTTTCCCACATCGGATAAGCATTCGTGTAATGAATAGGTTTGTTTGGTTTTTGTCCTTTTTTGTTGCCCTTGTAGACAAACGAGCTTACGGCCCACCTGATGGTGAGTGGTTACCGTCACCAATGGACTTAAGAAATGCCAGGGACAGAGCCAAACCCTCTACCGTGAAGTACTATCTACAAGCCTTGTTTAAATAAGGATATGTCATAGCGCGCGGGAAACACCGTGGAGGGTAACTCATTTAACATCATTTAACGTCCGTCTGGTGTAGTGGTAAGTGACATGGTCACTACACTAGGGGGTCGCGGGTTCGAATCCCGCCAAGGGAAGATATTTGTATGATAAATATAAATGTCTTTTCCAGGGTTATGGATGTATATTAAATATATGTACGTGTATAATAAAAATCTTACATTTATTTCCGATATCTGGTACCTGTAACACAAGTTCTATACGAACTTATCACGGGACCAGTTAACGTGGCGTGATTGTTAGTAAAATATTTATATATTTATATATTTATTCCAGAGCCAGATGGTACGTGGCAAAAGAGACCTCTCGTAATGCACTGTGGATGAACGCAGTGGCTCCAGGTAGTATAGATGAACTCTTCTCTACAGGCGGTACGATGTTAAAAATGAGATGATGGTATCATTTCAAACAATTCCTCAGAGAACTAGAACTCTGAGTGTGTATCAGCTATATTATTATATAAAATTTAAACGTATTTATATAAGTATGTATGTCAGTCTCTGATACCCCTAATACAGGGAATCCTAATTTGGGACTGGATAACTGTGCATAATTTATTCCCAGTTTTTTTTGTTTTTTATTACCATTAAAGTTATTTGACGAAATCTTTAAATTAATATTTCTAATTCAATCATCGCGTCTTAATTATTTTCCTAGTTCCACACTACCGTGCAACTACTGTAAAAAGATATGATAACAAATTCTTGAACTATTTAAATATTCACATCATTTTTACAAAATTTTAATCACATAAATGTCAGTGGTAGGTGTCCGCTGCTGAACTGGCCAACGACTTTCGGTGTTAGTAGAAGTGGGCGCTATTTTCAGCAATCGCCAAACTTGCAGTTTATCAAGCTTTGGCTTGTCTGGTACTATACATAAATCATAATAAATTGAGATCAAAAATCATTCATCTCTAGAAAAAATAATAGGAAATTAAAGTACAAAATTGTATCTTTCTTTTAAAATTTGGTTCCAGTTGCAAAGATGCTTACTTTGCAACAGACTTTGCAAGAGATACACATTAATGTCATAAACTTTTACATGTTTCACCCATTACGATCAAGCTACCTATTAACATCAATACCTTTACCATTTATTACAGAGCTTATTAGCTCTTGTCTAGATGTAAAATAACACGCCTAAACAAATAAGTAACAAGACAAAAATTATGTTAAATAAAAAACAATAAATAATTTAACACACCTATTACCTAATTAACTGATCGATCATGATTAAGTCAGCAAAAAATTAAAAAAGCATAAAACATGAAGATAAAAAACTGAGTAGTCCAGGATCAGCAGAGGTCTCGAATACCGCCCAGCCCACGGTTCAGAGCTGCTCCAAGGTACCCCAGACCACCGCTGATATTAATAAGCCGACGAAATTTACAACTACTACAAGATTTATCAGTATTCATACCGTTATCAGTTTATCAGTGATAATTTGACTGTTATGACAACTCACTTTGTGATAATTTATCGTTTTTTAATTGTCATTTTCATGTAAGTAAAACAAAATGCCATTACCCCGTGTCTCGCGTTAGCGATTTGGCTAAACTAACTAACGTTAAGGTGTTGAGGGGCTTAGATGTGGCCTGCAAAATCATTTCTATCTGAAATCAAAGCCATGCGATGACCAATTAATTGTGTGGAAATATGTGGAAAGGAAATTCCATATTCGTGTAGCGATACAGACACGATTTTTTTAAATACGAAAAATTCAGACTGAATTAGTTTCCGGACAAACATTGAATATAATACTTTCCCCTTCGCGGAAGATCACTACCAAAAAAATTCCTAAATTCCCAAAAAAAATACTTCATATTAGTTAGTTTCTTTCCTTTAGGAAGTGACTAAATCCCTAAATGCATCTGCTTATCGCATTCGTTCTAAAAATACCATGTTTGACTACCACCAATGCTCCACGCAAGCGAAGTTCAATCATTTTTTTTAATCTAAAACTAGAGTGTTCATCAATAGTACATTTAATTTTGAAAATATAATTTATGCCACTTACCGTTAGATTACAAAACCTCCTTCTCCTTAATGGCTTTTTAGATGCGCCATGGTATTCCTTTTGCTGTCGAGGTTTAAGTCGTAACAGTAGACAGGATGTACCTGTGACATAGTCGGTGATGACGATGGAAAACGCTCACGATTACGACGCAGCCTCTTATTCTTGGCAATAAAAACATTTTTCACTGCTCAACTTAGGTCTCCTTCATAGATCTAAAGAGCGATCAACTTGAT